AGAGGTCCAAGTTGGTGGACAAAGTGGTGCTACAATACTCATGAGTGCTCATAAGTTCTGAGTATTGGATTCAACCCGCGCTCAGTTGAATCACTTCATGGATTTTATCACGAGTGATCATGAGACCATAATATCTTATATTCTTCAAACCTAGAGATATGAGTTGTTATTGTGAGTTGGTTATACATTGATTGCATGAAACCGCATTGGTAACTCGATGTTATAAAACGTGTCTTTGTGTATGATTCAACAAGTAGTAGAACAAGCCATATGAGTCGAAGTTTATCCATTCCTTTTACCTTCGGGATAAAAGCGATATCTGTGGGCCCCTCGATGATTTAGCGATGACACATGTGAGTGCTTGGCCAAGCCAGGACTGATTTGATTTGTTCAATCAGTCAGTCATCATAAATCGAAAATCGGGAAACAACAGATGGACAGAGAGAATGATTTATAATCCATGTCTCAGTCCATATGATATCTAGAATGGAGGAATATATAATCACTTATCTAATGGACAAGTCATTGACAAAGGTCAGAGATTATCGGCAAGGTCAGAGTTCGACGAAGGCTTTTGAGAGCTACGATTGCCAGTTGGTTCTTGAAGTCATACACAATAATAGTTTTAGACTTATCCAAGTGGGAGACTGTTGGATTAGTGTCTAAGTCATAACTATATTTGGTATGTACTTGACCCGACCAGGCATGGTCCATTTGGGTTGCATGGCATCATGCACTTGGATAGACTAAATGAGAGAAATAAGACACTTATGGTTATTAATATATTATAAGTTCTAATATATTAATAATAAGAATAATAATATTTAATTAGTATTGATCAAGAATTAATTTAGAATTAATTATGTGATCAAAAGAAGACTAATTAAATATATGGGTTGATTGTGTAAATCATCCATAACTTATATAGAGGGCCAAAGCTCCATGGATAATCAAGTTGGGTTAAACCCATAGGATGCTCCATGGAGGTTACATAACCCATGGGTCATGGAAACGAAAGGTCACGACAATTAGGGTTTACATGGTGTAACCCTAATTGTAACATACTATATAAGTATCATATTATTCACCAAAATTGTCACTAGTTTGTGTAAAAGAAGGGCTAGCCGATTTCTTGAGGTGTGGATTTCTCTATAAGTTATTCCAAGAGCATTTGATGTTGTGTGAGCCATTTGAGGTGTCACATTTGAGGCACTAGGCACTCAAGCCCCATGGAGTCCAACTACACTACAAAAGGTATGTATTCTATCTATATTATTACCCAAGTATCTATGATTGTATGCTAGATAGGGTAATACATTGGAATATTAGCATTTGCATGTATATTAGAGAAAACATAGATCCAAGGTATTTAGGGTTGCATGTACACTTAGGAGTGTTAGAATGCTCAAAACCCAACACCAACAACCACCAAAATACTCTCCAAGGCTTCCATACACACTCAAGAGGGTATATGGTTCGAACTAGAGTTTCTCTGGGTTGTATGGACGATGAGGGAGGCCACAAATAGCCATAAGTCCTTTAAATAAGGTACAAAACCCGGAAAATTAGGGTTTTCCTTTACAACGTCTACTCGTTGAGTTGGGGCCTTCCAACTCGTCAAGTAGACCCTAAGTCCCGCATCCAAAATGATCTCTACTCGACGAGTTGGAGCTCCACGAGTCGTCGAGTCCCAGTCCAAAACTCTAAAAATGTTGAAAGCTGAATAATATACAAACCAAGCGTTACATAGATGAACAACATAAACGAACGTTCATGAACATAATAGAACGCACACGACTATTGTTCATGTTTGTTCATTTAACTAAAGAACGAGAATTTATGTTTATGTTCGTTCATTTATTAAATAAACGAACATAAACGAGCTTCCCGCCGAACAGTTCATTGAACGTTCAGTTCGTTTACAGCCCTAGTAATCAGGGTATGGACTGGGTGGCTTGATGCCCGAGAACGAAGAGAGAAAAAGGTGACAAGTTTTTACCGTTTGAGATATTCAAACAAAAAAATATTTTTTTTTAAATACCAATTTTTATCTATAAATACTAAAATATTTTTATATACATTTTCACACTACAAATATCACACAAATATTGTCTTGCCAATTTCATCAAACACCTCATGACATTGAGCCTGTGGAGGATTACTGTAACACCCGACTTTTACACCCTAAAATTTTCTATTTTTTATTTATAATATCACATTGGTGTACACTTACATTAACAATCCAGTACAAGTTGTTTTCAACAAGATCGCATCAAAGAAAATAAAATACAATGATCCGAGACGAGTATCACAATTTCCCTTCTACGGTCATTGCTTCTTAATAAATTTACATGCAAAGCACACAATAACAAAATGAATAAACTACAAATAGCTTAGTGAGTAATCATTAACGATGATACATACAATAATTATGACATATAAATACACCAATCGTTAGGTGTATAGGTACTCAAAATTCAATTACCAATTAAAGTTTACAATTACTCATTACTAAACTTACCGTACTCTCTTTCTACACTCACTCTCTTTACCTTTCTCTTTATCTCTACTCTCTCTATATGCATTCTCTTTCTTTCTCTCTCTCTCCCTCTCTCTACATATGTATCTCTCTATACCCGTACTTTCCCTTTATACTCAGTCACATTCTCTCTCTTTCTCTCTCTCTCTCTATCTCTCTCTCTCTCTCTCTCTCTCTATATATATATATATATATATATATATATATATATATATATATATATATATATATATCTTAATAAGCATTTAGCCTCAAATGCTGAATTTTAAGAGGTACAACCTTTAATGCACTATATACAATCAATTTATGCATTTTCAGAATAATTAAATACTATCGGGTCAACTATTGAAAAATTCAACCCGCTGAATTGGTCAAAATCAAATTGAATCTGTTGGATCCCCTTATATCGCCCTTTCTTCCGCCTATAATTTTATATCTCTGTTGGTCGTTTATATAACCTTCCCCTACTTCCATTCTTCTCCATTTTCACTCATATCTCACATCTACTTCTGTTAATCTTCTTTGTCATTCATTCTACCACCTACACCGGTCACGACCACCACATAAAACCCACCATCTCACTTTCTCTCGATTCAGAAAACAAAAACCCTACTACTCACCAAAATTGTTTTTTTTCGGTTTAACAGTTGTACAGGGTCGATTCATCGAGATGATGAAGAAGACGAAGAACCAGATCTGTATGTTGCTTCTTCACTCTGTCGTCCTCTCTGTTGCTTCCTCTGATAAAATCTAGGTAAACTTGCTCTCACTCTCTCAATCTCTATCTCCCTATCTCTTTCTCCTTCTTTCTCCCCTGATTCCTCTGTTAAGGAGATGATTGTTACTATCACTCTCATGATTCAATTTCCTCTTTAAAACCCCAGCAAGACAACCATCGGTCACCCACTCACCTAATGTAGTCCCTTTATCTCCTCCACCATCGTGTTATAATTTTATCTACCAGCTACGCCAGTCACCCACCACTATAAGATTAGAAATCAAAAGTCACAAGCATCTATCATCGCCCTCATCAGCCATGCTCTTCAACAGTTAAAAATCTCCACTGTATTTCTCAACTTCTCCACCATCCACCCTCATCATTAATACTTTCACAATCACTGAGTGATTATCATTAAAAACTCTTAGAAACCCTTTCTATCACGGACTTCAAAACCATCCACCACCTTCAGACCACTCATCACCACCACTAGAGCACCATTTCACCAGTGGAACACCATCGCACAATTCATCTCTCTCTAGAATCGAACGACCACCATTAAAGTCCATCACCCTCCTGCTTTCTTATTTGCAATCGAAAAAAAGAACCTTTGATTTTAGGTATCACATAAAAACATTTCTTAATTTACTTTTTTCTAATCGAATCAGTGACGGGTCATTAATGTTGTGGTTTTGTCAATGCAGGGGAAGACCTTTCTGTATCTTCTATTTTTCTGCAGAGATTTGAGATGAAAAAACATTAAACGGCTACACAATGATAACAAACAACCATTAATGTTGAGGTATTGTTTCTTTCAAATATTTCATGTGTAACTTTGTTTCCTTTTCTTAACAGGCATTATTGCTTTTTGCTCCATTTCAAAATCTCTCATGATAGATGAATTAGTGCAAGAAAAGTCTATAATTATCTTATAATGTAGCGGTATTGTTGCCTATTCATTTCTATTTGACCTTAAAACATATGGAAGGATAAATTTTTGATGTTTATTTTTTTTAGGTTTATAAAAGAAAGAAAAACGGACATTGAAAAGGAAAAGCAGATATGCCCTAATATACTATTTATTTTTAGCACATGTTACTTTGAAAATTGACGAATAAATTAAAGAATACATTATGCATCGGAAAGAAAATGAATCATTGAATTGAAACTAATGTTTAGTGGCATTTGTCAATATATTGTGTCTTATTTTTTTAATATAACATATTTCCTAAAGCAAAATAATCATTGAAACTAATCATTGTTCGCCGAAAAAAACAAATTACGAAAACAGACTTTTCACACTCATCACTTAGCGTGAGTAAACGGCTAGTGTGTGTGTCTCTCTCTCTCTCTCTCTCTCTCTATATATATATATATATATATATATATATATATATATATATATATATATATCAATGTTGCAAAAATCAATCTAGGCAGTCGATTAATCGGCGCCTAAATGCTTGGCGGTCTCTAACCGCCTACGAATAGGTGTTAGAGGGTTAGCTAATCGCTTTTGATAAATATCGGTCAAATCTTGTCGAATTTGGTCACAATCAGACTAAATCAGACCAACTCAGACTCCAAATCCGACCAAATAGGCTCTGCTAACTCTAAAAGACCCACCAGCTCAAAGGAGTCGGCTGGCCCAAAGCTTTGCTGGGTTTGATTCTCAAAGGAGCTAGCTCCCCTTTTTATAGAATAAGTTTTTCCTTCATCTATTATCCCCCAAGCGATGTGGGATGAACTTTTAATTGTTTCATATCTATTCTTTGCATCTCTTTTTCTCCACTTTGCATCTCATTCTTCCCCACCTTTCTCTCTCGATCGAACAACGCCTACCCAACTGTTGAATATATATAGGTGCAACCCACCGCCGAGCTACCTTCAATTCTTTTATCACTTCCTTTCAACGATTTGAGTGGTGAAATCCCTTCTGACATTTGGGATATGGAGAAATTAGAATCGATTGATCTTGAAGGTAATTCGATTCATGGCAGGGAATCAATCGTCATTCGTATTTCATTGATTAATTGATGTTCCATATAGTAGATTGCTTAATTTGTTGTTGTACGAACAGTATACATCTGATCAAGTTGATTCGTTCACTCCTTTTATTGCTATCACTTATGTCGATCGTTTCCTGTCAACAAACATCAATATACCAGTAATGGTTATAAATATTTACTTCAATCAAAATTATCCTATGGAATCAACAATTTAGATTCACTTCATTTCAATCGGATCGATACAGGTGGTTCTACGTGATAAATGTTTTGAAGAAAATTTGAAGTTATTTGTCTTCTGTTGCGTTTTAATCGCTTGCAAAATACACTGTTCAGTCTTCTGTTGCGCTTCACTCCGTTTGTGGATCTCCCTCCAATTCACAATTTGTTTTCGAACAAATAGAGAACAAGAACTTGTATCAATGGAACGCAATCATCAATAGATAGACTAGAAAAGATCTCTGTTATGGAGCGATTCTTGTCTTTTCCCAGTTTTTGGTAATGGGTCATATACCTGATAATTTCACCTTGCCTTGCGTGATCAAAGCTTGTGTCAGCGCTCCGAATTTGATATGTGGACAGGTGGTTCACGGGATGGCCGTGAAGCCAGGTTTGACCTTAGATGATTTTGTGGGTAATGTGTTGGTTTCAATGTACGAGAAATTTGAATTTATTAAAGATGCAGTTAAGGTGTTCGACTTTATGCCTCAAAGAAACTTGATCAATAAACTTGCACATTTTGTTGTTATAGTCTCTAGGCAATATTCAATGAAAGAAACTTCCATAAGCTATCTGGAAGGAGTGATTGAAAAGCACCGAGCTACAAAAGAGATGCGTATAGATGGAAAGTGTTTGAGTAAATGCTTAATAGAATCAAGCTTGTAACTAGCATGCTAAGTGTTTGAGTAAATGCTTAAGAGATGAAAGTTACAAATTGAAAAGAAAAACAAATTATGTATTACATATTTATTATTTGTTAACTTGTTTACTTATATTCTTAACATTAATCTTAAATTTATTAATTTTTAATAATTTTTTTAATAATTAATGGTCCCTGATTAATCCCCGCCTAGCCGATTAATCCTTTGACACCAGTCCACCGCCAAGCTACCTACCACCGCCGTCGTCTTCTCTTTCTGATGACTTCTCCGACTGAACAGTACCGCCGCTACAAAAAACCTCCGATCGTCGCCTCCAAAACCTTACACAATCGACGCTGCTCATCGTCAACTACCAGATCCGACATTCCGCCGTCTAGACCTGACATTCCGTCCTCCAGATCTGCAATCTTCGGTTCAGATCTATGATTTCTGCCACCACCGACGTTCAGATCTGAGAGCTCTAGTACAGATATGTGATCTCCGTTGCATTAGATATTCCAGATTTGCGATTTTCCGACCATCGTTTCTTTAGATCTTCTAGATTTGTGATTTTTGCGACCTCATTTTACTCCTCTCGCATCTGCTCCGACACAAACACCACCAGCAATACCTCCACATATCAGATTTGTTCCACCGGTCGTCAACTCCTCATCCTTCCTCTTATGCTTCACCACAGCCGTCATTTTCTCCTCCAAACACCGCCTTCACATTGCTGCAGATCTGCTCTGATGATGATCTATACTATTACAAGCTTAGATTCGACAACCGACTACACCGGAGCAAATCAGAATCCAAAAAGGTGTTTTGTGGTCAGATCTGTCAAGAAATGACAAAAACTCGTCTTCTCTGGTGGTTGGTGGTGGTTCCATTGTCTTATGATGTTTTATGGTAAGATCTGGTTATTTTTTTTAATAAGAACTCATCTTCTGTTGCCGCCTCCCTTCTTTGCTCTCGTTCTTTTTGATTTCTGAATACTAATTTCTAAAAACAACATGCACACAATGTGTTTGATGAAATGTCTCAAAGAAAAGATTTATGTTTTAAGCTGTGAATACTATGAATAACTATTTGAACTAGTTTGTTAAGTTGTGAATGCATGTCTGAAATAATCTTTTAAGTTATGATTGGTTGTGAATTAATTTTTTAAATTGTGAAATTATAAACAAAACAGTATACTAAACTATGATTTTTTTTATTTAATCCATATATGATTATTGTAGCATGGTAAGAGCTTCATATTTGACGAAATATGTATTAAATTGTGAATATAGTGAATTAGATGTGAATATACTTCATTAAGTTGTGAATTTTGTAAATTAAATTGTAAATAGACAGAATAAAACTATGAATTTGATATATTAAATTGTGATTTTTATATAATTTTTGTGTTAAATTGCATACGAATCAATTAAATGTCCAAATCATATTGTAGGTTTTTACTTCTATCCTATATGATGTTGTTGGTCGTAAAAAAAATATAAATAGACTAAATTAAATTATGAATAGACAGAATTAATTGTGAATTTACTATATTAAATTGTGTATAATACACATTTTAAATTGTGAATTTATTATATTAAACGGTGAATTTTGTATATTAAGTTGTGAATTCACTGTATTAAGTTGTGAACTGACTGTATTAAATTGTGAATTCACTATATTGAGTTGGAAACTAACTGTATTAAGTTGTAAACTAACTGTGTGAAACTGTGAATTATATTAAGGTGTGAATTTTTTAATAAATTCTGTGTTAAAATATGAATTATTTATTGTTTGAATTTGTATTAATATTCTTGTAAATATATTAATTTTCTGTGTTGTATAAATATTTAAAAATGTAGTAGTTATATAATTATTTTACATTAACTCTAAATAAATGAATTAATATTTTATTAAAATGTGAATATAGTATTTAATCGGTGAATACATGATTTTATATACATAGAGATATGATTTTGAAAGAATGATGGTTGCAATGGTGACACTTGTGATTGGTGGCAGCGTATTGTAGTGGGTGGTGAAGATAAAGTTTATGTTTAGCTTCTTTGAATTTTTGAATTATTATAAAATAGATCGTATTAAATTGTGAATTTTGTGTATTAAACTGTAAATAGATTGTATTAAATTATATATATATATATATATATATATATATATATATAGTAATAGCTTATGAATGAAAATACTAAATTGTAAAAATTATGAATTTTCTATTTTCTTAAGAAAAAGCACTAAAAAAATTACGATTTTTATATGTTTATTAAGAATTCACATGTTTAATAATAACTATAAGATGGGGTTCTTAGAGTTCTTAATCGTTTTGGGTTCTCATTTGAAACGCTTCATCTATATATATATATATATATATATATATATCTATATATATATATCTCTATATATCTATATATATATATATATATGGCGAGGTTAAATAGAAACCATAATTAACAAGGAACCAGGGAACCAATCGTGAGCGTCGGAAATCATAATGATCAACGGCTAAGGAAATAGATGTACACTTATACATTGGACGCACACACACCGGATTATACCGAAAAATTTACTTACTTACCAAAAAACGCACTTCCTTTTTTTCATTTAAAATTTTTGTTTGGCCATATTTTTTATTGAAAAAAAACCGAATATACCGTTGTTCTCGATTTTTCGTCCTCTTTCCATAGAGATCCATGTTGATATATAAAAAACGAACTTTTTTTTTCGAAAAAACTCACTTCATTTTGTTAGTTTTTTCAATATTTAAGTTTATTTTTATCAAAAAAAAACTAATTATACCGAAAAATTAATTTTTTGTACTCTATTAATAACCATCAACACCGACTAAAAAAAAATCTCGATCAGTGTAGATTCACACTATAAATATAAACTGTAAATATTTCAATTTTTAACATTTACAATATGAAAAAACTCAATCAATTCAGATTCATATTGTGAATCTGACTTACTTTTATGCACACTGTGAATCTGAGAAGGTTCACAATGTGAATCTGAACAGGTTCACAATATGAATCTGAACTCAAATATGGTTTTTTTTTTATATAACATGAATATGAATCTATATTTAAAAAGTACCAAAAAGTATGAATTTTTGATATATTTATTATTTTTTTTCTATATAAAAAATAGACCTTAACTTTTCAACAAAAAAAATGAAGTGGATTTTTTTTTAAAAAAAAAGTTCGTTTTTTATATATCATCATGGATCTGTATGGAAAGAGGACGAAAAATCGTGAACAACGGTATATTTGGTTTTTTTTTCGATAAAAAACATGGTATAAAAAAATTTTAAAACGGAAAAAAAGGATGTGGATTTTGTTATAATCCGGTGCATGTGTGTCCATTGTAAAAGTCTACAATCCATACTTTTGTCGTTGATCGTTTTAAATTTCGAGGCTTTGGATTGGTTACTTGATTAATAATGGTTCTTATTATTATATATATATATATATATATATATACATACTAGTCGTTTACCCGCGCCAAGCGATGGGTGCAAATAAATTCTTTCATAAATTAGTTTGTAGAGACGATCAATTCTTTTGTGCAAAGCGGCGAGCGGCTAGTAGTTTCTTTGTGGCTGCTGGAAAAGTAATGGGATGATGTTATTAATTATAAAAATAGAAAAATAGGGACTGAGCTTGATATTTCTGGAAACCAATGGGACCATTTTTGAAGATTTGTCTTAAAATAATGAAAAAAAACTAAAGGAAACATAGTGCACATCAGATGCATAAACTTACACGATTAGAAAACGAAAATTAACCATCCGAACAATTAAACTTCAAGTATTATTGATTATAGAATAAATTGATATACTTCTCTGAATCATAGTAGTTATCCAAACATCTTCCCTTTGGTAACTTAAAAAAATCAGCAAATTCAACAACTTTAACTACTTTGATAGTCATTATTTTCTTCTTTGTATCTTTATTTTGTCCATAAACCCTTTGGTGATATTTATTGTACATTTCTTCTTTAACACGACCCAAAAGAACATCAATCTGTTCAACAGTTAAACATGTTTATCAGTAATGCAAGTAAAAAAAATCATTATCATAAATCATGCATCTCAATTTACTTAATTTAAGCCATGTTGTTCGGTCACACACACATACCAGTAACATTACTATGAAATTATTATTTCTTGCATTTAACAAAAAATGGATAAATCCAAGAAATAGAAACTTCCATTTATAAGGCAAAAAATACAGCAAAAGGCAACACAAACATGGTCACCAAGATAGATCCGCACACCTAAAAAGACTATTTTACCCTTATCTGATTTTTTTCTTGATAATTTCATTAAGCAAACTAATATGGTTAGGCACCCTAAGTGAATATACATGAAAGCATGAAGAAGAAGAGTAAAACTACATAGATAGCCCCATAATTGTCCAAAAACTACGGATTTGGTCGTCATCCTTCAATTTTAACCTTTTACATATGTATACTTGAATCGACCAGTGATTAAAACCAATCAAAAAGATGAAGTCTTTAATGATTCATAATGATTCGAAGACGACGAATCTATTGTTGCACGATGGCGTGCTTTTAGAGACGATTGCATCAGTAGTTCATGGGTTTTCCTGTCGGTGGTGACGGTAGTGAAGTGAGCAGACATGGTGATGGTGGTGTATGTAACACCCTGTTCTGAAAATATCCGTTTATGGATTTCAAAGGCCAAGGCTAGGGGTGTTCTGGTCTTTTATGGGTTTTGAGTTTTTATTCTAGAGGTTTTGGGTCGGGGTGTGTCACTAGAAGCGTAGGGCTTCTCGCCACCTTTTCGTGGATATAAAGTTCGTCGGAAACGGACTTGGAATGAAGGACTTATGACACTTTGAAGTTATTGGCGTTATTGGCCCTTATTGGAAATAGATGACAAAGAAGTACCATGCATGCAAGGTGGTAAGCGCGCGAGTACGCCCATCGTAAGGTTGGGTTACGCCCAGCGTATAAAGGAAAATGATCGCGGGTGCGGAGGGGCAT